GAACGAAAGATACGTGTTATCACTAGCTCGCGTATAATACGAATGAATAAACATCCACATCAAGATGTTCGAGCATGTCTTATTTTAACTTTACTTCATTTTATTGGTAAAACATCTTCAGAAGAGGATGAAAATATTATTTGGGAAATTCTCGAAGAAGCAGCAAAAGATGATTATCTTCCTGTTATAAAAATTTTATTTGCTGAACAACGAAGAAAATCCTTTCGACGACGAAAATCTGCTCGGGGAAAATCTTCTTGGCCATTAACAAAATTAAAACATTCATCTGAAAATGTCTTTGAAACATTTATTAATCGAATACAATTGAAAGTATTAGATCATCCAACATCATTAGAAGCACGTTTATTGGCTTGGTCAAATATTGGTTATGAACATTGTGATAAAAATAAGTTAATTGAAAAAGGTCAAGAAATATGTGCTCAATTTGATAAAGATGGAAATACTTTATGGGAAAAAGCTTTTGAAAAAATTCTTTCAATTTATAAACAAGAAAAAACGTAAATTAAAAATTAAAAATAGTTTATAAATATAAGATTTATTTTTCTAAATAGATCTTCATTTGATATTATTATTGATATTATTAAAAAAATGATGTTACGTCGAGAAGAAAACGATGTCAATGAAAATGGAAATGATAGTCAACATGATTTACCAGTTTATCATCGTATTCAAGATGTTTTAAAAAATCTTAATTCTCATGTGATAACATTTGATAAGGAGAAAAAAATTGCTTTTCGTTCAATAACATCAATTATTCTTCAATTTGATAAAACATTAGCTTATGATTTGTCAATAATCTTAATTGAAATAGCTGAAAGTAAAGAAGAGCTTGAAGATATATTAAAAAATTTAGAAGAAAATTTACCGAAAGATTATTTTGAAAGAATATTAACAGAATTATCAACGTTTATTGTTAATAGTCAATCTTGTTGTTTTATTAAAGAATTAAATGGTAATGGAAAACTTGAATTAGCTCAATGGTTTATCAAAGAAAAAAAACGAATATTATTTGTTTTTAATTTTCTTATAAAACAAGTTTTTTATGAATTGAATGTTGATCGAGAAGAATGTAAAAATCTTCTTCGACAAATGCGACAAAGTGACAACTTATTTATACGAAGAGAAGCTATGAATTATACTGTACCATGGGCAGAAGATGGTAGTCTTACTGGTAGACATGGTTATTCTGGTCGGGGACGAGGACTTTATTATGGTGGATATTAAAATTATTACAAAACATAATTTTATTTTGTAAAAAAAATCTTTTTATTAGATTTGATAAAAAAAGAAGAACATTGTTGTTTTTGTTTTAATAAAATTTATTTTAGAATTAAAATTATTTACTCTCTTAATTTTTTGTAGAAAATATAGAAGAAATCTACAACAAGTAATATCATTATGTTCAAATAAACATTTATCCTATAAGAAACGAAGACAAAATGAAGTTTTAGTCTTATCAATAATCGTTATATTTCCATCTGGATAAATTAATTTATAAAATAACTCAGATTATGGAAATAAAATTAATAAGAATTATTGAAATACATGAGTCTATATAGAGTTTGGCCTTTTTATTTTGTAAGCTGATCAAAATAAAATAGAAAGAGAGATAATGTTATAATTCATTGCTTTATGTTCTATCGATAGAACTTTAATTAAATAATATTTTTATAGAATAAATCTTATCATTCGATGAATATTTTCAAGAATTTATATGACGATTAGGAAAATGAAGAATATCTGTTGCATCTTATAAGAAATATAAAAAAGAAGCAAACTTCGATCAACGAATATGGTTAAAGATACTCCAACAGTAGAATCTTTAAAAAAATCCATAAGCTATCTTTATTTTTTTCATGACACGAATAATTCTTATAATTAGTTCTACAGAGATTCATTATTTACTTCATTATTACTTTCGAAAACCGCCAAGGATAAGATAAAGGTAATAGTTTCAAACAATGATTTATGTCCGTGGTAGTATAGTGGTGAGTATCCCCGCCTGTCACGCGGGAAACCGGGGTTCGATTCCCCGCCACGGAGTATTCTTTTTTTTTCTTCTCGTTCTTCTATTCTTCCATAGTATATAGTTCTCATTCTAAAAATTTCATATATATATATTTGTTTTTAATTGTTTAATAAAAAATATTCAATACCTATATCAATCATATATCTAAATATACTGTATTTAAAAAAATACTCCGCAGCGAGGAATCGAACCCCGGTCTCCCGCTAATATGTGAGGCGGGCATACTGGCCACTATACTACCGCGGATAAGATTATTTATTATGAATGTTCTTGATTAATGTAACATAAAAAATATTTTTCACTTGAACATAATCATTGATCATTAAAATCAAATATTTTAATTTAAATAATTATTTTTCTTTTATGACATTAAACATATAAATATAGATTTTTATTTTCTAATAGAATAAATCTATAAATATAAAATAACGATGTGTCTAACAACTAAAGGCTCTCAGATTCAGTTTTGAAAATTCTTGATTTCTAATAGCTCTAGAAGCAACATAGATTATTTAAGAGGATTTTAAATAAAAAACGGAATATATTTACTTAAGTATACTTATGAAAATAAAAAATACTCCGCAGCGAGGAATCGAACCCCGGTCTCCCGCTGATTCAATAGGCGGGCATACTGGCCACTATACTACCGCGGATTAGATCTTTTATTATGAATACTCTTGATAAAGGCAACATAAAAAATATTTTTCATATTTGACTCAAGACTACTCAAGATATTTCGAATAAAATTTTAATTTAAATGATTATTTTCCTTTTATGACATTAAACATACGTATATAGATTTTTATTTTCTAATACCGAATAAGTTAATAACTATACAATAATGATGTATCTAACAAATAGGATCTCTCAGATTCGTTTTTGAAAATTCTTGATTTGAAATAAAACAAACGGAATACATTTATTTAAATAGACTCTATAAAAAGTAAAAATACTCCGCAGCGAGGAATCGAACCCCGGTCTCCCGCGATCAATAAGGCGGGCATACTGGCCACTGTACTACCGCGGATCAGATCTTTTATTATGAATATTCTTGATAAAACTAATGTAAAAAAATATTTTTCACATTTGACTCAAGACTACTCAAGATATTTCTAATAAGATTTTTCATTTGAACATAATCATCGATAAATAAAATCAAATATTTTAATTTAAATGATTATTTTTCTTTCATGACATTAAATATATGTATATATATATATAGATTTTTATTTTCTAAGAGAATAAGTCTATAACTATACAATAAACATGTATTCAATAGCTAGAGTCTCTTAGATTTAGTTTTAAAAACGCTTGATTTGAAAAAGATAGGTTATTGAAATAAAATATGTAGATATGTTCGACCTCTATCGAATTGATTTTATTCTTTTCTATTGATTGAAAAAAAACTTTTATGTAAATAAATAAATCTTTAATGTTCCCTTGTAAAAACTAATAAGAAGAATATTTCAAGAAATCATGAGTTCATCTTCTAATTTAACTCAACAAACAGGAAAAACAAAAGATGATATTCCTGGACTTAAGAATAAAATGGCTGAAGTAAAAATAAAATACAAATCTTTTTTATTTTATTAATTATCTTATTCGTTTTTCTTTGTAATTAATAAGCTTGAACGTCAAGTGAATGATTATAAAATAAA